AGTATTGATAAAGCATATTTGCGAAAGAGACGCATGTGAACCTCACGGCCATATGCAGCTCACCCATTTTCTTCACTCCAGTAGGGTGAAGAACAAGCAACGGATAAGAATGCGTGTAAATCCGTCCCGTCTCTAAAGTAGACAGCCTAATACGGATTTTACCAATCTTCACATCTCGGTTTCCCTTTTCCCCGAGCTGCCCGTTATCAAAGACACCAACGGTTAAAACTGTCGCTGGATCAAATACCTCCCAAGTATACTGCTCGTTATACTTGGGACACAAGTTATCCACCATCGTCCTTGTTCTAACCCATTTTTGGCCGTATTTAGCAACACAGAATGTATCAGAAGTTCCTCTGCCTTCTCTGGTTTTCATCGGGTGGAGTCCAACAGCGTTCAAGATTCCAAGCTCGAGAACTCCAATCGGTTGTCTCCAGAGCGGTCTCGCGGATGGGCGTAGATCACTACTGTAGTGAGTGGACTCATCCAATACATGATATCCTCCTTCAAGACAAACTCGAAGATGAATCCTCATCGAGAATTTTTCTCTCTTGAGCTGGTCCACGTCTACAACAACCGGTCTCTCCAGATTATACCTATCAAAACACATTTCAAAATGACCATATAAATCAAAACCTTCTTATTTATATTTTGAGTCTAATCTCATAATTAGAAACAGTACCAGCGCGAGTGTATCATATGGTCATCAGCTCGCTTCTCTACTGTGTTTAAAGGAATGTAAGTGCGGCCAAGTATCTCATCTTTTCCCGGAGCAACCCGGTCCTCAACGGTGAGAACCAAATGGTCTTCGAACGGCTCTGCAACGACAAACAAAAAGTCTTCGTTCCATACCGCACCAAGGGTACGAGCTTGACATGGTCTTGTCTTCATGACTTGATTTCCTAGCTGCGCTTTGACATAAACATCCGGGAACCTATGTTTCTCCGTCGTAACCAAGTCTTGCGCTTCGACCACATTCACACGCACGTACCATAGACGTGGCGCATGATAGACCTAAACATAACCAAAACAATGACACAAATAATCAAGATTGCTTCAAATTTAATAAAACTAGCACAAAATTATACCTGTTTGGTTGAAATTTCAAATTTTTTTCCTCAACAATAAATGTTATTTACAAAAAAAAATAAGACTAACACTTAGTCTGTAACTTGACGAGGAAGACTGGTAAAAACAGAGCAAACAGAGCGTAAAATGATATTGCCTTCATTGATATTTTAAACACAAATTTGAACATTTATATCTGCCTATAAATGCTCAAGCTATACTTTTGTCTTGATAAAAGTTAAAGATTACCTTTTTGATCAGATATTTGTTGATAAGTTACTATTACTGGATTTTTTCACTTTTGATATGGTCCTAACATATATAAAATAACAACGTAAAATACAAACACTAACGTAAAGAGAAGAAAAATATTGAGGCCATTGTACCTTTGAACGTAGAACCGCAGAGATAGCTGGAGTACAATCAACAGGCATTGCAGCATCAGAATGCCAAGCATCAGAGAAAGCTTCATCGGCTTGTGTACCGATCCAAACAGCGAGCATAAGCTCACCTTTGATCTTCTCTCCTTTCTTGTCCTCTAATCTATACCATTGTGGAGCAAGAGGACTATCCGGAGGCACACGAAGAGGGACATCATTAATGTCAAACCGAACAAAACCAACATAATCGTCTTTTAAAAGATCTTTGTCCTTAACCACCACTTCCAACACAGAGGCTTGCATTCGCTCTTTTGCGAATGCAAACACTTGGTTCCATTCTGGATGCTGTCTCTTCTCAAAATGTCTTGTGATTCCTTTGTAGTTCCCTACTTTTACCTAGATAATACAAAATGGTTAATGAAAAATAATTCTTGATTTGAATCAAATGTTTCTTAAGACACTTATTATTTACTTTACCTCAACGAAAGGATCAACGCTTCCTGTAATATCCATTATAGGAAGCTCACGAGCTTTGACGACACGGACATAGAGGAAATACATTCTCTCGACAAGATCATAAGTACTCGTAGCGGTTTTGTCTTTGTGGATAACACGCCCACCAACGACTCTTCCACCACCGAGATTCGGGCTTGTTTCCTTAAGCGCAAAATCCGCAGGCTGAGCCGAAGCAATTGAATGCGCATGGATAAGCTTTGAAGGTGGTGCTGGTTCGGGTCTCATTTCGTCTGCTTGATGCTTTGGAACGTAATGGTGATGATGTTCGTTATGATGATCCGGTTCAGCGGTACTGGAGGAAGAAGATTGATTAGGTCCTTGTGGATGTTGTTGTTGATGTTCTTGAGCATTGTTTGGGAGGTTGTAAAAGACATGTCGTTTGTCGGATCTATGGTCTACCTTCATAGCTGAAACTGTCACAAAAAGAATATATCAATTGATGTTCTAAACAATCTAATAAGTAGAAGTGAGTAGATAAAAAATAAAACCGGACCGAACCAAAAAAAAAAAAAAATTAAAACCTAAGTTGAAACATTATTTGTTTATAACGTTTTCTTTTTAATTTTTATGCCAAATAAAGTGGATCAAAATCAAACAAAATCAAGATTTAATGTTATTGGACGGAACTAAATAAACGGAAAACCCATATTTTTAAGACGTACCTGTTGTGAGGGCCGGATCTAGGTTATCTATATGATTAGCTGAAGCAGCAGAGGATTTCAAAGATGCATCGTCGGTTATGTAAACTTTCAATCCAAGCTCACCTCTCACACGAGAGAAGATCCCACGTTTCTCCATGGGAAAGTGAAGAACAACAGCGTCAGAATGAGCAACAAAAGAGGTTCCTGAAAGAGATACCTTGCCAAGGAAGGAACGTCCATTAGTAGATCTGTTGTGGCTATAAGCTTGAGCTTCAAGAGTGAGGTAGTGAAGCCGAGATGGATCTGAGATGTTGAAGAAGAAACTCTCGTTCCAAACAGGGTTTAAGTCTCGATCCTTGATCGTTGTTCGGTGCTTCTGACCATCAAAGTAAAGCTCGACGAAAGCGTTTGAGGTTCCTTGACCGTCTTTTGGGAAGAGATTGTGTGCTCCGATCACGTCCACGCCGAGTTTTAGATTACTCATCATCATGATATTCGTTCTTGTTTTGTTCTGTTTAAGTTTCAAGACGATTTGAACGATTTTAAACCCAAAAAAGAAAAAAACTTAAAAGCGATTGTTATTTTGTAAAGAATCACATTGATATGAACACAGAGACTTAAAGTAGAATCAAGCTCTCACGACTTCAGTTTCGATAAAGTGTCTTGAAACTATATACTACATTAATATAATATTATTGCACATGCATTCATTAGTATATATGTATGTATAATGTATAATGTATAGGTTGTGGAGAAACTTAATATCATTATGGAAAGCCCAACTTAGATTTCAAGTAAGGGTGGACATAGTTTCTTGGGATTTTCTTAAATGTTTCTCATCTAGAAGATAATCAGAACCGACTTTTCTGTACGCATATACAATGATGAGAATGCTATAAATTAATATGAAATGGTCTGCCTTAACTTATTGACAAGAGTTATAAATATAATATGGTGTACCTCAACATATGATTTTGATAAAAAAATGTAAAGACCTTCTAAAAAAATATACTTTCTGTACAGAGTTATAAATTGGAATCAATGTTAAAAAGGTCAACTCTTTGCCCTCTTTTCTTGATTGGGTGAGATGAATAAAGGAAAAAAAATTCAAGATGAAAAAAAAACTAGATAACAATATTTCCACTTAAATGCATATATTTACATATACTTCTATCTGAAACTAAGAGTTGATTTGATCCATTATTTAAGGTAAAGATCCTAAAAGAACGCATATGACACATGAGTTTGTTTGACTTGTAAGAATTGAGCTCATAGCTCATAAGATCTAAAATTCCACCAATAGTACTAGGCACTAGCTATGTTTCCGCGACTGCATGATATGATATGATATGGTTAAATGCGTGTATATATATATATATGTATATGCATATCTATACAAACGTAGTATGTGAAGTGGGCTCTTTAGATTTATCAAAGCCCATTCAAGGATTTAACTACTGTCCCATCGAAATCTCAATCTTAGGACTAAAAAAGCTATGAAAAATTGATTTTTTTTTTTGCCGAGTGTGATTTAAGTCTTGTATTGTGTGTAATTTATTTACATTGAAAAACTAAAAGGAAAAATTGTATTTATTTCAAAAATCTAAGCAATAATAAAAAACAAATCATTGTTAAGAAATGATTGTCCACCACATATTTTACTAACCTTATCATTGATATATGTGGTTTTACCACCATCTCTTTGTAATATTTTATGCTGTCATCTTCAGATTCCTCCTTTTTGTAACATGAGTGAAGTAGCAATAATAAAGAAATCACTTCTCCCTCTCTTCTCTCTCTTACGTCTCTTCTCTTTGATGCTTATATATATATATATATATATAACAAATCTTACTTTATAATTTACATACATCAGTTATAGTTTACAAAACGTTACCAGCACGAATGCCTCTTGATTCGTTCTTATACTCAAAGAGGTAAGATTTAAATTTATGTTTAATTTATTTCAAGTTTACGTATTATTTCAAGATGATAGACTCTGCCTTTCCAGAACTGTTGATTTAAATTTATGTTCAATTTATTTTCAAGTTTACGGGATGATAGACTCTGCCTTCTCCAAACCGATCGTTATAATAGGCTATGTCTTCACGATCATATGATCATATGGTAGACTATGTCTTCTCGGATCATATATATGGAATGAAAGGCTAAGCCTCCTCCTTGATTTTATATTTGTGGAGTAGAAGGTTATACCTCTTCCTTAAAATTATGGTAGGCTCTACCTCCTCAATTATATAGAAGTTTATGCTTTTATATTGCCTAAAAATATATTTTTTATTATATATGCATATTCAAAATTGTTTTATCATATTTCTTTAAAAACAAAAATTAAAATTAAAATTTTTTCTAAATTTATGATATACATACAGTTATCATGTCAAATTTGGCGAAGCTCGAAATCCCTACCCTTGATGTGTCTGGTAAAAATTACATGTCATGGGCAGTAGGTGCAAACATGCATCTAAGAGGAAACGGGCTTCTCGATACCATCGATAAGTCGGAAACGACATTAGATGAGAAAAAGGCGAAAGCCATTATATTTTTGCTCCACCACATCGATAATAGTTTAAAAGAGGAATACATCACGGAAGAAGATCCTGCAGATCTTTGGCAATCTCTCAAAGATAGGTTTGATCATCAGAAATATGTGATCTTACCGAAAACCAAACATGAGTGGTTGAACCTCTGGTTCCAGGATTACAAAAGTGTTGGTGAATATAATTCTGCTATGTTCGAAATTACTTCCAGGATGATGTTATGTGGACAGGAGGTAAGTGATTTCGACATGATCGAAAAAGCTCTCCAAACATTTCATCCTGGAAATGTAATCCTGCAACAACAATACCGGGCAAAAAGTTACACCACTTACTCGGAGTTGATGCAAGTCCTCCTTGTAGCAGAACAAAATAATCAGCTCATGATGTTAAACCATCAAATTCGTCCAATTGGATCATCGCCATTTCCAGAAGCGAATGTTGCGTCATCCAGTCAAAATAATAGAACCGAACGTGGATGCGGGCGGTGTCGAGGCCGTAACCGCGGTCGCGGACGAGGAAAACAAAATGATGTTGGCAGGGAAGCAAGAAAGCAAAAAGAAACTGCTTGTTACAAATGCGGCATGAAAAATCATTGGACAAAGACCTGTCGTACGCCAAGACATTTGCCGATCTGTACCGAGCATCACAAGATGCCAAAGAAAAGGATAAAGGAAAGAATTTCGAAATCAATTTCATCTCTGATGAAGATGGACCTTCCTTTGATGGCATAAGTGATTATACTCATCTTGATATCGCTGATTTTCTTGTTGATCTTGAAGAATCAACGGAAACAAAGCGATTAAGATCGATGTAATATAAAGTTTTCTTGAAGAGGACAAGAAAAGCCAATGTAATTTTAAATAAAAATGTAATATATTTTTGTTAACAAGAAAATGTTTTTCTTAATATAAAATAATATCTAAAATCATGTTTTGGTTTATTAATGCATTTTATTACATATTGTGATTCAGAACATGTCATCGTTTGAGATTCAGGATGGAGATACACATCTAGTAGACAGTGCTACGACACATACTATACTTAAAGATAAAAATTATTTCTCCTGTCTCAAAATAAATGACTCCGCCGGAAGCATGAGTACCATATCTGGTAATGCAAATATTATAATAGGCTCCGGAAGAGCTAATTTTTTAATGCTAAGGGGGACAAAATTTGAAATAAATGATGCGTTATATTCCCCCAAATCTAGCAGCAACTTGCTAAGTTTTAAAGATATCCGAGGAAATGAATATCATATAGCAAGTATAAATAAGAATGGCATTGAATATCTTTGCATTACATCTGAGAGAAAACATGTATTGGAAGAATTACCAATGATGTCCTCTAGATTATATTGCACAAAAATAAATATTACTGAATCCTATGTTATAGTAAACCTGGGGTTTACTAGTACATTTTGAGTATGGCATGAAAGATTTGGTCATCCTGGATCAGTCATAATGAGAAGAATTCTGCAAAATTCGAGTGGCCACTCATTGAAAAACCAGAAGATTTTTCAATCGGAAGAGTTTTCATGTCAGACATGTTCTTAAAGAAAACTCATAACTAGGCCCTTGCCAGCCAAAGTTGGGGATGAATCTCCTGTATTCTTAGAGAGAATACATGGTGATATATGTGGGCCGATTCACCCACCGTGTGGGCCATTTAGATATTTTATGGTATTAATTGATGCATCTAGTAGATGGTCATATGTGTGTCTATTGACCACAAGAAATATGACTTTCGCAAGATTCATTTCCCAAATAATCAGGTTGAGAGCGCAATTCCCTGATTATGCCATAAAAAATGTCAGGCTTGATAACGCTGGTGAATTCACATCAGCGGCATTTATTGACTGTTGTATATCATTAAGAATCGATGTTGAGCATCCTGTTCCACATGTTCATACACAAAATGGCATGGCTAAGTCTTTGATAAAACAGTTGCAGTTGATTGCAAGACTGTTAATATTGAGAACAAAACTCCCAATTACTGTATGGGGACATGCTATATTGCATGCTGGGGCATTGGTCCAGATGAGGCCAAGTGCATATAATGAATATTCCCCAATACAGTTAACATCTGGCAAGGAGCCAAATGTGTCCCATCTCCGTATTTTTGGCTGTGCGGTCTTTGTCCCAATAGCCCCACCACAAAGAACAAAAATGGGGCCACAAAGGAGATTAGGAATATATATCGGCTATATGTCACCAAGTATAATTAGATATCTTGAACCGGTACTTAAAAAATGACTGGGAGAAATGGCAGATGGCCATAAGAAATGAATTAATCTCCCAGAATAAAAGAAGTGTCTTTGGACCTATAATCATTACACCAGAAGATGTAATACCAGTCGGGTGCAAATGGGTCTTTGTGAGAAAAAGAAATGAGAAAAATGAGGTCACAAGATATGAAGCCCGACTTGTGGCACATAGTTTTTCTCAAAGACCGGGAATTGATTATGAAGATACATATTCCCCGGTCATGGATGCAATCACATTCAGGTACTTGATGTGCTTGTGTCAACTACGTGAGGGAACAAGTTTTACCCTTAACAAAACAAATGAAAGCCGCTAGTGCACAGCTAATCAGTTGTAGTATTAAGGGATCGGATCCACAGAGATTTGTGTGCCTGGTATTCTTCTACGGTTTTTAACTTTATGTCTAGACTAAATTGGTTTTAAAGGTTGGTTGTTTTTCTTGCGAATTAAACTAAAACAAAAGAAAGTAAATAAATCTATCCTAAAAAGCAGATAAGAAAATCGAATGGAATGCAATTAGAATAGGCAAATATCGAATGAAAGACTAATAAGGCAAGTAAGATAACGCATGAAAAGTAAATAAAGCAAGTAAATAATGAACTAAGGAAATTGAAATGCAGGTCTAAGAAAGCAAGTAAAAATCGATGGAATTGTAAACTATGGCTAAAAACGCTGAGCTTTTGGGAACTCTAAGGGATCATAATCGGTTTTAACACTAAGGTAGATAGATTGGGATTGACATATAACGATATATGGGTTCTAGAGCTAGAGTACGGCGGTATGACTACGTCACTGTCGTGATCGTAACCAACTGTTTCTCGCAACCCTGACCAGTAGGTTTCCACTCTGGCCCTGGAAGGGAGAGAACGCAAGAGCTGCACAAGACTCGTCAATACTCACGATCTCACCGCAGGTAGGTTTCCACTCCTACGGAAAAATCGCCTGTTTCATTCTAGGGCTGATACTTAATGAAAACTTTCGCAACACTAACTATCTAGATCAGATACTAGGTGATCAATCAAGCATACATGCAATAAGAACAAGAATAAACAGAGAACAGGTCGAAATCCCAGATCTATAAACCTAGATGTCTTAATCGATTATGAGAGCCCTTTTCGGGAACCCGAAGCCCAACTCGGGATCTACTCAGACATGGCTGAGTTCGACATCATCATTGGTTTTAATAAAAGTAATGAAAAACAGTAAAGAAAAGAGATAAAGAAAGCTTCTCTATCGAAGAACTCGGACTTGAACAAATCTTCTACAAAAATCTCATAAAAACGGCTAAAGGAAAAGGGTTTCTGTAAAGTATGAAGGGTTCTCTCTAAAAACGACCTAAATGACATGTATTTATAGTCTCCAATACTCCATGGTCTCTAGGGTTCCGGAATTGAGGCTGAGAATGACTTTGGGCTTCAGATAAGTGGGCTTTAACTCGGAGATTGATTGCCGCGGTCGGGAGTGTTGTGACCGCGGCAAATAGCTTGTTGGCCGCGGTTGGGAAGCTTCTGACCGCGGCAAATAGCTTGTTGGCCGCGGTCGGGTGAGTTGCTGACCGACTTCGAATGGCTCCGGGGCTAATGAAATATCTTGAGATCTAACCGTTGGAATGTCTCTAAACCAAGTGCATTTGAAAGCTGGTTGATTCTTCTATAAGTTGTCCAATTTTGAGGGTGATCAGACGGTGAGAAGGTCTTCGTCTCTCCATGAGAGTTCTGACGGTCTGCATTTATCCAAAAGAGTCTTTTTGTTCCATTTTGTGCCTCTTTATCCCAAATTACCTGAAAAGTCTTTTAAAATCCGGAAACATAAAAATCCTTTGAAAACCTTTGAAAATGGAGTTAAAACACCTGTAAAAGATATTAAAATGATCCATAAAAATGGTCAAAATCCGGTATTATCAACTCCCCCAGACTTAGTCTTTTGTTTGTCCTCAAACAAAACAAAGGTTAAATCTCGGCTAGAGGTTTGAAAACGCAGGAACTAAACAAAATCTCAGAGACCAAACTTCTAGACCAATATCAATCAGTATGCATCAATCGGGAATAGCCTAGAAAATTCTCACTAGCAATACAGGCATAACTAGTCCGTTAATCCGTCATGCAGAAATCTATGCACTAAGATCTAACTTCCAGTCAACTAGCTCTTAACATTCATTAAAAAACTCGGTGGTTCTCATCAAAGAAAACCTAGGCAAGGCGATCTAGGCTAGGTGTCAAGAAGGATTATTTTGGGGGGTAAGGCTTAAAGTGTTTACGGGTTACCTGAAGATTTGGAGGATGCAGGATATTATGCAAAACCGCAAGAGAGAGTGAAGCTGTTGGTATCCACAGTTTTCAGTCACTTTCTTCTTGACATAGATTCATGGTCTTCTTCCTCAGGTTCTCTCCAAACTCCCCCAGACTTAGATTTTTGTAAATCTTTCAAAACAATAGCTCCTTAAACGAATAGTGGTTGCTCATTGCTCCACAAATTTCGACAATCTAAGACTCATTAGGCTTTTTGTTTCCCTTTCTCTTTTCACGTTTTTTTTTTTTTTTTTTTTTTTTTTTTTTTAAAGAAAGGGAACATCTTTAGATCTAGAGTCTTAGAGAGCACGAATTTACCAGTTAATATCTGTCTCGTAAAGGTTTATTATGTTTCTGATACTCTTCCTTCCCAATTCCATTCAGTCTCCTTTGTGAGTGACTGAAAACTGCGTCGCTCCTCTTCTCTCCGACGTTTTTGCACATATCTGCTGATATAAACTAAAGAGAGAATGCATGAAGATTGAAAACAAGGGTTTTGGGTTTAGGGTATGGTACCAGATAAAGATAAACTGGTCATCTAGGACGACAAATAGTGGTAAAAGTGATGGTAAAAGATGTCCTAGATGTGTATGTCGATGTCTGCCTAAAATCAATGATGAGAAAATTAGATATCAATATTAAGTCCAAATAAAATAAGCTAGTATATCCTGTCAGAAAGAATCTCCATGAATAGAAGTCCTCTGGTGGGAGTTCGTAGTGCAAGTACTCTAGCTACCGCCTAGTCTAGTGCTAACCACAAATGAGCTATCATGCATAGTGTAGAAGTGTGCAGGTCTAAATCATCATAGTTTTGCGTCAAACATTCCTGAAAAATACTTAATGTCGAATAAGTTACATATTAAAATTTAAAAAGTACTTGAAATTTAAAAGCAAAGCAGGGAAATGATTAGTACGGATAGACATCCTCCCCCAGACTTAAATCACACTGTCCCCAGTGTGAAAAAGTTGGTGAGAAAATGGTGAATAAAAGCAAAATAAAATAAGATAAGATAAAAGAAAAGAAAATGATAATAGAACCGTGATGGTAGTGAAGTGCTGATCAATCACTCATCCTCCGAAGTGTCGTCTGCAAAATGGTGCTGCTCCTGTTAGAAGGTGACAACGCGCTCAAAGCGTCGTCCCTGTCTTTCAACTCTGTGCTCGAGATCGGAATGAGTGTGTGATGATGTAGATGATGAGGTGTGGCCAGTCGAAATAGATGGCTGAAAATGAGCACGGGCTGCAGCTGCATCACGCTTCGCCTT